ACCCGCGTAGTTCTTACTGAACACCTGTCCCGGCCCAGCACCGCTGGACGCGTCCAGAGTGGTCTGCTTTAGGGTAGCAGAAAGTGGAACCTGGTACCCCCGACCGGAATTCCCGGATCCTCCTCCGATGAACTTTGGCTGACCGGGGAGAGGGGAGCCGGGGAAACTTTCATCTTCTTCGCTCGATGAAGATGCCAACATTGCCAAGGTAGTGAGATTATGGTTGATAACGATGTCGGGGCATTACTAAATACCTAGAGTGGAGGAGGTGAGGATAAGAAATTGCAGAAACAGAATGGAACAACACTTAACGCGAGAAGCGCAATTTAATGGAGGAAATTCTTTAGGAAACGATTACAAACCTGAATGTGTACATTTTTGAAACTGGTTCTACAGGTTGTTGCCAGACGTGTAGTGAGTATAGAGAACAGTTAGAATTTTAAACCTACCTCGAAAAAAAACAATAATACCGATTCATTGTTGCCAACAGTTGACTCTGTTTTCGACATTTCTAGATTGACTGCAGTCTTTTTCATGCTTCTTTGAGATTGTCGTACATGACATCCAATTTGATGTGCTGATTAATGCACCAGTCGTTGGAGTTAATGGCTTCTAAAAATTCGCGACTTTTCTTAGATGGACAAGGGTCAACAATACGAGTATGGCCCAATGCAAATATGTTCCTAGTTTCTAGTGTACGCATGGCAACTTGGGACAAGTGGCCTCGCCTCTACTGTCAACGTGTATAAAAATGCATAGGCCGACTTTCCTGTTTGACCACAATAAACTGCATTGCAACTGCCGCAGAGGATCTTGTAAATATCTTATTTTCTGTCCAAATAGCCAACCCTATTCTTAGAGTGTACAAGCTGATTGCGTAGTATAATCGTTGGTTTGTGTGCCCCTTGGATTTGATGCTTCCTCTGGTGTCTTTCAGCCAGTTCAAACACATTCTTAGCATATGGAAGTGCTCGCCAACTCCTTGGTTTTGCGCACCTGATCAGAACAATATAGTTCTTTTTCTTTTGTGTTAACTCCTGCCACACAAACTCTCTAGGGCAACCATTTTTAAAAACAGTTTGATTTGGTAAACTCTAGTGCTATCGTTTTCCAAAGAACTTCTACTTAATAAAAAAAACCTATGCAAACTGATGCACCAAAGAGAGACTTAAACGGCGCCAGAATAGCTGCCCTATTTCGACGGCACAAGTGTGAAAAACGGTTGCATTCTGAACATTTAGGCTTAGGAATAAAGGTAGATCCACCGTTTAGAGACTTGCACCTGCCGCTGGAAAATGCAGGATGAAGAGTGAGCGAGGTTAGCGGGGTCTACACTTTCCAATGCATCTGACACACTTGTGAACTCGTCTTGTGCACTAAAAGTCGCAACCTGTAAAACCACCCACTATATAATAACTCGGTCTTTCCCATTTTTCCGCAACGGTCCCTTCTTTGAGACTTCCATTTAAGTGGGATTCGATATACTGAAGACTGATGTGTGTAGGTACCAGCTTCGGGCCCCTAGAAGGACCGTCTGATAGCTGAACTGGACCAACAAGGGACTAGACCAGGATACGGCAGGCGTTATTGGGGTTAAGCACCGATGACAAGTGCAGATTATGGGGGGATGTGGTGGCACGTGTAAGGGCGGCTTCGGCCACGCCAGCCACCTGCGCTTGACCCCACCTCCGACCTTTTTAACTGTGTCTTGACACCGGGCCCAGGTGAGCGAGGAAGGAAAGAGTGCGGCAGATGCTGCGCAAGTCTACTATCACTTAAAACTAATTCACGCGCAAATCACCGTCCCCGCACCATACGGGGGAGTTCGTCG